AATTTTATTTCCGTTAACTCTCTTTCTGCATGCCATAACTTTCACGCTGACATATTTTGATTGACTTTTAGCAGTTTAGTCATACTTACAATATAAATTATTCCTTTCATTTGGTATTGTATTTAATTTTTCTTAGGGCATTACACATAATCACATCAGAGTTCAGACTGAAATTTAATTATAAAACATGTACGAGGTTTACGTACAATAGCATGCACTTTGTTTTAATCTACTTGATTCGTACAGACTTGAAGTCTTGAGAATTAAACGGGAAACAACACAACGTTACCTTTGTGACGTAACTGACATCATAATCAAATGTGCACAAAACAGCCGCCCGAATTGTCGAAATTGTGTACCAAAAGTGATGACAAAAGCAAACCCGCGACCTACCTTAAAGAAATACTGACTTTGAGGCTTTATAAAGCCCTGGGACTTCATCTGATTTATTATAATCCTACCTCTCGTATCAAAGCATGCTCTAGAATACCGAAAAAGTAAGAAGACCTAAACACATTTTTTTTGCAGACAAAAGGGGTATTTTTCATAATAAATAATATGTAAGAATTACGTTGGCGATAGAAAAGCTGATTCGGTAGCCATCCAATCCCGTTTTCATATATAGAATAGTTATAAGTCAGCTGTAAGCGTCTATATATAATCAGTAAAGATATCTAAATATGAGACATATGATTGAGATATATGAAGAGGTCAACCAAGAACCATTATGATGTATCTATTTTGTGATTTCTATTACCCGGTATGTGTTGAAAACACTTTTGGTAAAATACGAAGGACATTAATGAAGATCAAAAGTTTGCTAAATTATTTTGATAGGGCAAATAAGAAATATGCAGATAATTCAGTTCATTTAAAAAAATGGTCTTCCAATACGTATTTCATTCAGCATTCGATTTAACGATAAGATGGATTGTATTTGGTAACAAATAAATCAAGCAATACTTGAGAAATGACTTTCAACAAGACTGTTGATATTCTTATATCACCAAAATATTTGTCAGCAGCTTGCCCTCCCCCTTTTTTCAGATAAGTATAAATTCAGATTGGTATAAATTTTAACACATGAATTATGAAGATAAAAATCAGGCACAACAGGCATTGAAACAATACAAATCAGGAGCAGAGCGCGGTGACCTCTAAAACATCAGAGGTTGGATCAGGTGCCATGGAGGAGAGAGTCAACCTGTCACACCCTGCCTCTTGTAATGATCGGGCAAAATGAAATTCCGTAGAGAGTTTTGTGTGTAAAATAATTCAGGTGCACAAAATGTCAGTCAGCATTCGAATGATTGAAAGACTGTATTTGCTGACAAGGCCATTGTATCGGTCAAGAGTTTGCAAAATACTGTCTTAAAACGAGACTGATATCTTTGTTTCATATACCTGTTTGTCAATAGCTTGCTTCGTTTTAGAAATTGTTCCTGAGTATGTTCTTTTGATAGAATCAGCTAAGAGACATTAACTCCATATGCAGGGGATAAAGGTGTATTGTTACATTAAGAAGCGATACTGGCAAAAGAAAAGTGGAAGTCATTAAGTTTGCCATTAAGTCTTGTTGTTAGGATACCGTAAACTTTTTTCCTAGTAAAATATCCAAATATGAAACAGATGTGTCAGCCACTGTGATGTTATATTCAAATTCCAGAGAGATATATCGAATCAACGTAGGGATGAAAATGAAAATTGTTAAATGATAAAATGCCGTCAATTTATCTTAATATATGGAACTAAAAGCCACAGTCACGGGAGAATTTTTCTCTTCAGGAAGATGTTGTTTTATCTTTTGTTCGACGTTGCTGTACATTTTCCATTTCAGATTTGCGTATTTTTTAATGACAATGTCTTCTATCATTCTTTCGAAAGCGTTGGATATCATCAATTGTTAAAAAGTTTAAAAGAATGAAAATACTATCTTATCTTGGAGTATTAAAAAGCGTTTGGGCGTCTTGATATATGACCACAGCTGGAATATTGTTTGGATGGCGTCATACATCCGGTATAGAGAATGACTTGCATTTTTAAAATCACGTGTTTGATTTTTGGATTCATCACACTAGGTGTCACTATTCTGCGCGTTTCCGATAAGTGACAGTTGACCAATCTCATTTAATGTTAGACACAGGTAGTCAGTATAGAGACAAGTAATTTTGTGTAGGTAAAAGTTTGCTGACATTCCCATTTCTTGTTCAACCAGAGAAAAAAAGGGAGAAAAGGAAACGATGTCATCGAACGGAACTCTAAAATCAATAGCATGACTTGTTTTCAATCATAATTGTGTGAAATTGATAAAATGTCAAAAGTCAGTAAAAAAGTGAATAAAACGATGGTATTGAACTATTGATTCATTCACAGAATGACTTTTTAATGTTTTCGATTTCAAAAAAAAAGAATGTTCATTTTCATTGATTGATTAAGATGTCCCCAGTCTTTTCTTTATTCACAGCTGCTATTACAGAAGAATACAAACTAAAGGTTTCAGATATTTTTGGGACAAGATTCAACATTGAAATTGGTCACCAAAATATTGTAACATTTATCTGATAAATCAGAGGATCGCAGTTCAAATGATAGGAGGAGTCTTAATATAAAAAATAGGGATGTCAACGAATAGTCGACTATTCGACTATCAGTCGAATGGACCGACTATCGAATAATGAAACGACATTCGAATATTTAATAAATGAAGAAAAAGGAGGTGATAAAGATATTAAGATACTCTCAACTCAAAATTGATAAAGCGTCATTCCTCAAACCATTATAGTATGACGAATAAGAGCTTAAACATAGTCACAGTATATAAATAAATTTCCACATTGGACATATGGAAAGTACAGTAATTACATTCCGCGATAATTATTTCTCAATTACCGACCTTTTTGTTTAATATTGTAGTAAATTATGCAGCGCTATTCTGGACTTTGAAAATTATTAATTGGACTTATACCAATTAACAATTTATTTATTACCTCTAAGAATGTTCAAAGGCTGTAGAAACACACAAACGCCGTGAAGTTTTGAAACTTCGATAATTATTAGAACAATCATATATCGTAAGGACATTTTGATAGCCGGGCTAATCGATAATTGAACAAGCAGTGTTTAACAATGTCCCCTGACGTGTGAATGGTGTGTGTTTACCCCTCCCCCTTTTCAATTTATTTTTAATAAGGTTTAAAAACACCGTGATTACAATTTTCTAAGCGTACTTTAGAACGAAAGACCAATATATGAATATGTGATTTACGAGAATTCACACATTTTTGAAAATAGATTGCTGGTGTCAATCTAATACATTTCAACATCTTATTCCTACTTTAGGTTCCTCTGAATATCGGTGTGTAATACGCTGTGTAGGCATTTGATGTAGCTTTTTACATGAATTTACGAAATGGTTTTTGATTCATAAATACGCTATTGATGAATGTTCAATAGTCGACTGTCGTTCGAATAATGCAATCGAATGTTCGACTAAGAAAAATAAATATTTTGACATCCCTAATAAAAAAGAAAAGAAAATGAAAGTGCATTTCGAAAACTTCAGAATTGTTCAGTTTAGTAAAAAGTGTTGATGTGATTGAGATGGTACTGTAAGCTTTGCAAAGCAGGTCCTTTGAATACAAATACTTAAGCAATAATGTCGAGTTACTCTCCTCGATAGTATGCAGAGCATCATTAACTCACCACAAAGTAGAAAATGAACATTTTAGTCCGATTTTACAAAGAAGATCCGTGTTTACCTTTATAGGTTATTGGACCTTTGGACACGCAGTAAGGATGACATTTGATTCCAATATACTGTCAAATATATCAAAAGTTTACTCTGTAGTCATCTTTTTAATTAAAACCTCTTCAATCATTGTATGGCCATCCCCGTTGAATGTTTTAGGATATAAATTCACGAAAATACTTATAAGAACAATATAATATTTGGAAGACAACTAAAAGTCCGATGAACAAGAAACGTGGCATATAAAGCTCAACTGAACAGGGTAAAGAGAAAAGGAAGCCTAAATAAGAAGAATCGAGGGGAAAAAAGACAAAAACATAAAGACATTGAGTGAACTTTGCAGAGGAGCCTACAAAGAGACATAAAGCTGATTCCAAGAAGTGGAACAAAAACCATATACTGTTGTAAGTAATAATGTTACATTCTATACTTTGCAAAGAAATAGAAAAATAAAGTTTAAAAAGCCATTTTTTTTAATGTCCTTGCAAAAACTTCAAAATTTATATTGACATTTAAGACGCATGTATGATCACCGTAGTCTATAATTAAATAAATGTCTTAAACTCTTGCTAACCTTCATTGACGTAAACCCATTAATACAGAGTCAAACTGTCACTAAGACATATCCTCTCTTACCATAATTACCGTAAGGACAATTCAGATGTGTTGTTGTTATAGATAAATGTTTTTTTTTTATCATATTCACATATATATATACAGCAATAAAAAAAAATTTTTCCAAGGAAAAACTAAAGAATGCAGCAAATACATTGAAGATTTCAATTTTACTCACAAGTTTAATTTTACCATTACCCATTACATTAAAGAAAAGAAGAGAGGAGTTTCTAAACAATACCAATCAACACATCCTAAAACTTGGCGTATTTCCCTGTGAAATAAGGGGGACCTATGTCCGAAAAGTCTTCGTGTGAAATTATTGGAAATTTGATATTTAATTTTTTAGTACTTACTTAATATGCTAATTCCAATGCCTCAGCACGTGCAAGAACAGACTGCTCTGGTACAAAATGCTAAAAACTAACGACCTTTAAAAAGCGTAATTTTAAAAATATGCATAAAATTGACTCGAAATGATAATTCAAATTTAAAAATCAACATTTTTTAGATATAGTAAACTTACAGCTTTAAAATGATGGCAGTTTTACAGTACTTTAGAAAGTACAACTTTTTGTTCTTGAGCACAACTTAACATTCATTTTTTTCTTGAGAATAAAGAAAAATGCGTGTTATTACTATATTTTGAAAAATATATCTTCTCTGTAAATATCCATGTCAAAATGTTTCAAGATTCAGAAACAATGGAATTTTTTACCATTAAATAATCTTACAAGGGAAAATTCAAATTCATGAAAAAAAGCGTACAACAGATTCATATTTAAAATAAATTAAGGTTCCTATATCTCCGAATGTCAAACTCAATGTCTACTTGAAAAATACTTCTTCAGAGTTCGGAAGCATCCTTTTCTATTAGAAAGGACGCCGCACATGGCGCATTCAAAAATTTTCCTCGCACAACAGTAGTCCACCGTGTTAACTTCAAAATAGCCCTCTGCTTTTATTTCTGCAGCGAGCCTTTCTCCTTCAGATGTGGATACAATACAAGTACACTTTTTAACGTTCGCATCGTATTTAAGGTCCTTATGAGTGGCCACTAGGAATATGGGAACCTTTTTCCCGACATTCCTTTCTAATTCTGGTATCCAAAGACTTCGAATTCGCTCGAATGACAGCCTATCTATAGCACTGAAACAGAGGATAAATACATCGCTCTTCTTGTAGGAAAACGCACGAAGTCTCGAGTATTCTTGCTATAAAGGCAAAAAAAATTATAGTAAAATAGTGTAACCTTTAATACACAATTATTTATGTAATCTGAATGAGAGAGAGAGAAACAGAGAGAGATTAAATGCCTCCAAGGACACCACCTAATCTTATATAAATTCAAAAAAAAGAAACTCAAAATATAAATTCCATTAAACTTCTTAAGTTGAACGATGAAAAAATGGAAGAATTTAAGAAGTACATACTTGCCCAGCAGTGTCCACGAACTTCACTTTTAATTGCTTTTCTCCCACTTTCATTATTCCTAAAAATGAATTCAAATGAATGCATAACATTTAAAGCATGAATAAAAACCTTAAACAAAGCAGAGGGAAAAAACGAAAAAAGGAACACTTCAGAGATATTGCAAGACAACATTCATAACTCTATTATCGTCCGTCAATTGATAAAGGGTTTACCTTTGAGTGTTGAAAACACGGTTGGGGCATACAAATCTATGATATTTTGACCAAGGAAAGAAGCCAACAGGCGAGATTTGCCCACCATTGCGTCGCCGACAAGACTGCAGGTGATGCGACTTCTCATCTTGCTTAACTAAACATCCAATTCAGTCTACTTCTTATTAAACATTACATTACTAGTATTTAATCCTTTTATATACACATGTTTGATATTTGATTTTATTTGCAAATTATTTGTTCTGTTATTGGCTACATGATATGTTGCATGTTACTTCCATTAACACGTTTTACATAATTATCATGATTAACTCCTGGTAAAAGTTTGTTTTGGACAATTTAATTGGATCTACTGTCTCCAACCACGTAATATACTTTAAACCAACTTTTATTCCCGACGATTTTATTTCGCGATTTACCGGGGGTAAACTAGTTCACGACGATTAATTTCCACGATCAAGTTCTTTTTTAAATCTGTTGTTCAAGGACAAAGCGACTACAAGGACCTGTTCGCAGTTATAAATATTCGCGATTACGCGACTCTCGCAAACTTTTCTCGCACGCGAATAAAAGTTGGTTTACAGTATTTTGTATATACGATTGGTTTTCACTAAAAATATTTTTTCAAATTGCCAACAAATACCTGAGGCATGTAGTCATTCATTTGGCAATTTGAAAATGAATAAGAAGAAGGATATGGAGATAACGAACAGTATTCAATATCAAAGTCCATAAAACAATACAAAATAGGAGCAGAGCAAACACGGACCTCCGATACATCAGAGGTGGGATCAGGTGCAATTGGGGAGTGCGTCCCCTGCTGACCGGTCACACCCGCCGTGTGCTCCTTGTCATGATCGGGAAATAACGGAAAAATCCGTCGTCAATTCAATATATAAATAATGGACTAACAATTAGTATGAAAAAAACGTCAGTCAGCATTTGACTCAATGATAAATTGTATTTGCTGACAAGGTCATTGTATCGACCATAGAACTTACGAAATGAAGACTTTACACCTGCTGATATTCTTGTTTCATCAAATTGCTTGTCAATAATTTACCTCGTTCTAGAAATTGTTCATACGTAGAGCATGCTCTTGCGTATCGAATCAACTGATATATATATATATATATATATATATATATATATATATATATATATATATATATATAGATATATATACTCCGTATGCAGGTGATGAAGGTATATTGCTGCATAAGTAAGGGAAGTTGACGATTGAAAAGTTAAAGTCATCACGTTTATCATGGAGCTTGGTTGTTAGATGACCATTAACGTCCTTTTCAAGTAAAATGTCCAAGTATGAAACAGATGTGTCAGACTCTTTGGTATCTTTTATCTCAAGCACACCAGAATATATCGTATCGACGTAGGAATGGAAATTACCATTGTTAATCGACAATACGTCGTCGATATATCTAAATGTCGAGTTGAAGGCCACAGCAAGTGTTTTCTTCTTTTCACGTATAAGATATAGCACAAATTCTGCTTCATATGAATATAAAAATAGGTCTGCTAATAACGGAGCTCAATTGGTACCCATGGGAATTCCAATAGATTGTTGGAATACCTGGTCTCCTAAAACCACATAGATATTGTCAGTCAGAAACTCAAGCATCTCTTTGATGTCAACTTCAGAGTACTTGTGTGTGCAATCAGTGTTTTAAACATGTGTAACAATTAATCCAACTGTGTTTCCGAGAATGCTGATGGTTCAGTATAAAGAGACTACAATCAAGTCTTAAAAAGTCTCCCATTCCTACATGTTATAGTTTTTCTCTCCGGATAGCTCCGTTTGCCTTAATAATACATAGAGTGACCAGTCGACAGAGAAATCTTACTTATCTTGTGTATTTGATCCCATGTCAAGTGTTTCAAGAGGTCTAGAAACTATCTGGAGTATAATAAATAATAAAAACAATGGTCTCGCAGCTGATATGAAACATGATAAGTAAAATACGTCCTAATGATCATCAAGCTGTATATGCAACAAAGCCATGTAAGCGACCAGAGAGTTTGAGAAATTGTTACTTTTAATTGTGTAAAGCACTGAAACACTACTTAACAATACTAATTTCTCAGTAGCCTGCCATGGTTAAAAAATTGCCCGTACTCAGAACATGCTCTCGCGTATAGAATCAACTTGGAAACATAAACACCATTCGATATTTCACATCACGCGATCTGTAGCGATGTGATCAAAGACTTTTATATAAAACCATAACGCTACAGTTCTGCAGCTAAGTCATGCCATGACATAGTCCCTCTTTATCATAGACATAATTCTAACATAAAATATTTTTAAAAGTTAATTGCACGATTGTGTGGAGGGTCTAATCCAGTAAAAGTGTCAGAGATGTTCCGAACCCCTCAGACAAAAGGCTGGAAATGGCAAATGAAATGATATAAAGGAAAATATGACAATTCCTGTCCTACAATAATATAGTAAAACGTAAGATAATAATTTTATAAACCCTCCCGGCTCCTCACACTAATTTTTTTCTCTAATGTGTTTGGCTATTTACTTGTGATCAACCCTTGCTTTGGAAGCTGGGCACTCCCTCCCCAAGAAAGAATCCAATGAAGAACAGCATGTATCCCCAACTTTAAGGGGAAACAAGAAAGAATAGCAGATAAAGTATAGTAAAGTTTGGGGAAGATACATCTATTTTGGCTAGTAGCAAACGAGAATGATAGGGTGTATACAGTCAAACCATAACAACGACAGCTCAAGTGAAATATTACTCCAAACAATTAAGTACTTAGAGCACTCAAAAAAAAACGTGATAATTTTCACTTCCTTATACTAGATATGTGTCCACTACAAGCACAGAATTATAAAAGATTTTCCGAAAGTTCCGAGCTTTTCCAGACCACAGTCTGTTCTTGAACAAATTTAGGTAGGTTAATCTTTTGATTATTACAAGTATTCATTAAAAATAATTGGATGTAACGTATTTAAATGAAATGATAAATAATCTAATTATATTTTGCAAACACACCTAAGGATTTCACTAAAAGCGTATGAAGGAACAATTTAGTGAAATGAACTGATTTGACTTGTTAGGAAAGTTACCATAAAAGGTGTTAAGTGTTTTATTTTTAGTTTTTGTAATCTTTTTTTTATTATACAAAGAAAGAAAATGAAGCAAGAGTCCTTCTTTTTGTATAACACATAATTTGGTCATTTTGAGCCTATCGCATATTTTGACCTTCTTCATCTTCCAATTTGTACACCATTATACTATGATTAATTGTAAATTTTATTTTTCGTTTGTTTATCACTCTTCAGTACAAGTGTATATAGAGTATTTAACATTTACAGTAATAAAAACATTAAAGAACCGTTAGGCGCTTTATTATGCATTTTAAGGTACATAAGCGATACTTCATGTTTCTGCATTTATAGTACATCAAGAAGAACGTAATGGAATAATTCTATGTGGAGAGGGTTAACCACACTCCAACGCGGAACTATATACGAAAGTCGTAATTAGTATGGATGACACAGGTTTAATAGAAACCACATATCGGTAGAAAACTATATAAACGTCGTTCTAAATATTTACCAAAGACATATGAAATTTCTTTTGTAATCGAAATATTGAAAGACATAATGTATTTTAGTAGGCAATCATTTCTAGGAAAAAGGCGGAATAAATGAAACTGTGTAAGTTCCTATCATATATTAAAGTTCGTTAAATGAAAAAAAAATATACAAACCTTGTTAGTCTGAGGTATATTTTTAATAAGAAGAGTCTAAATATTTACATGTATCCTTATATTTTACCACAATTCCGAATTATTTGCTACCAGGAAAGCCGTTAAGTATTTTATAATGTGCTATCAAAATATAAATACAGTATATAACCTTTCAAAATATGTTAATATCAGCCCTTTCTGCATTCATGAAAGTTCGAGAATTGATTACCATTTTAATAATTTGTCATTTTAAAGTATTTTTTTGCAAAACAAGCTTAAGACCGACGTAAAAAAATACTACTATATTTAAATTTTGACCACAGAATTCCTTGTTACTGGTAGTTGTTGGAAGGTAAAAGTTTGGATAAAGTTTTGACAGTTCACGTGTGTTCACGTGTATGAACTGGTCATCTACCGCGTAATGACGGTAAAGGACTGATTAGCCGTATCAAACATAAATCAACGACCATCAGTTCTTTTCAGTTTTGTTCCCTTTGTTTTATGGCACTAGGATTATGAATACCGGTACCTGACGTAAGTAAACTTTGACTAGTCCGTTAGTCCTGAGCATTATAAGGTTTGCAAATCACTTCCTTAGATTTTTCAGTCTCGGAATAGCATATCACAGTGACAAAAGAAATCAAGAAAACTTGGCTTCTTCGTTACAACAAAATATTCAGAAACAATACGATCAGAATAAGTAATGGACTGGAATTTTTTTTAGTGAAGACTTCATACAGTCATGGATTTCTCTGATTGTTGAGCTCTAATTTTATCTAAATGCGTTTATGTGCACTTTCACATTTTTAATGTTGGCCCGATATATATTACACTGTATCATTCAAATAAGTTTTTATGTTGACTAAAATTTTAAATGAATGCATTCATGTATCGCCAAACAATAAAAAAACAACTCTTAATCACAGTTTATTTTTCATGATTTTGATATTTACCCATAAAAAGACAAAAGTCAAGAGAAACATGTGTTAGAAGCTTTCGATATGATTTAATTTACCGAATTGTGACTATTACAGGATCTTGAACGAAAGGTAATCCAACTTGTTTTTAATTTCACTACAAAGATGTTGATAATTATTTTATCAATACATCTTACTCTTGTAGCGATAACTTGATGTTGTTTGTCTATGAATCATCAAATGAACTTCTTATTCGACTCCACATAAACATGAAGTAATTATGCTAATATTCCGAAATACAGTACAGTATATGAAATACAGTGTGTATGTAGATGGCGAACAGTACTCAAACTCAAAAGTCCATAAAACAATACAAAATTAGAGCAGAACAAACACGGACCTCCAAAATATCAAAGCTGGGATCAGGTGCAGTGGAGGAGTGAGGTACCCCTTGTCGTATAAAGATACCAAAGATGAGGTTCATTATAAAAGCTGATAGGATGTAAAACATGGACGGTCATAGCTGTGATATATTGAAATGTAGCCCCTAAGAATATAATAGAGCAACAAATAGGTTTCTAAGTTTTGTACATAATAAGAAAATAAAGATAAAAATATCTCGAAATTATAATCATCAAAGAATCTTCATCAAGAAAAAGAAAAACAGCTTCCTTAGAATCAAGTAGAATAACTATCAGTTTTAATTGTACTATACGTATTTCACTTGAGGCATGATATATCCGACTCAGACTAATCTTATGGACCTCTGGTTACTCTCTTCCTACTTTAGTTGATGTAGAGGATGTTTGTTTCCCCTCTGCATTGTATATTTTAGAATCTAGATCTAGAAAACGTATCTGAAAATACATCGCCGGATACTCACTCATACATCATACACGAGTGCTTTTGTCTTATATTCATCAACACGGGTGATCAGCAAAAGCGAGAACATCCATGGGTATCTGACGATGTTGGACTTAAATGATAATGATAACATGGTAACATGTTCACATATTGTTGTAACGAGGAAATTCTTATACTATACTACAGTTATATTCAACAGTACTAAGTAAAGAATACAACAATTACTAAGTGCTTACGGTCGACTTTCCTTTATTTTTTTTAAAGCCATGGTCGCATCAAGCAACAATTAAAGAAATGTTTTAGATTCAGAGTGATTAAATGAATGCATGCAGCCGTTTTATTACTAACTGAAGTGTTGTTTTAAATAATACTATACATTTCATTGCACAGAAATCATTTTTCTTCAACATTTTAAATACTTTCTTTAGTCTGAATCATCATAAAAGGTTTAAATTAATGCATCATTATCGTAACAGTACACTGTAACAGCATAATAAAATTCTCAAAAATGCAGCTCGTATTGTTCGATGTGTTTGCCTTTTTCATTCAGTTTGAAATTTCAAATGGTATAAATACCTTAATCTAGTTTATTCGAACAAATCCGAACAAATCCGAACAAACGCAGTTTCAATTAAAAAAAAATGCTTTCATCTAGTGTATTCACGGTTATATCTGATTCGCTCGAAGGAAACTAAAGAATGTTTTAGTCAATTTTTCATTTAGTTAAGAATTGGTCATTATTTCACCAGTAAAATATCCAATTATGAAACAGACGGAAAGAGTATATTTAAGAGGGTTAGGTTGTTGTGGTCATTTTAAGGCTAATGGTGTTCTTTAGAAGAAGAGATCCCTATAAGATATACAAAAATGATCAAATTTTAAAACTTAAAATGTTGAGACAAGTTTTTTTCAATTTTCAAAATTCACAGAAAAGTTACATTTTTCTAAAATCATGTTCTCAGTAATGTTATCTTCAAAACATTTTATCATTTTATCATACTGAAGGACTTATCATTCTATAATCTTTATTTCAAAGTTGACAGTTAAGCATATTTAGTGGAAAATGGGTTTACTAGAGCTATAAAAAATGACTTTTGAACATGAATGGGTCAAGTCTCCATTCTTCGTTAACGCTTAAATGACGGAGACGTAAATGTGAAATCTATTTCATATGTCCAAAAAATGGAATCTGAACCCATTCTATATGAAAATCGATAATTTTTGAAAAAAAATATGTACGCTACAACAAACCCGTTTGTTTAAATCACACTTACAGACGTCGAATATGCATATACTTCGTAGCATAGTGGTTACAGCGGTCGGTCTTGGACCAAACCCTGCGCTATGGAGAGAGTTCGAATCGTGAAGCTTTTTTCTTTTTTGTTTTCACATATCTTAAAAACATGAGTGAAAAATAAATTATTAATAAAATATCAAAACAATGAAATACAGAATTAATTAAAGTTATAGCCGATAGTTACGGTGACGTATTTTATTCTATTGAGTGGTTTTTGTTGTGCTGATATCACTATAGTTCCAACAAATAGAAACACTTGAATCGAACCTGCATGGTCCTCCCGATGATACAGCGAACGTTCCACCACCAGGCTACTTTGATTGGTTATATTATCTGAATAATAAGCACTGCCATATAATTTATTCCATTGCTGTGATTATACCAAGTCTCCTTAGGCATTCGCATAATCGTAAAAAACCTTCATGCAATGCGTAACACAATGCAAAATTAAATAAACATTTTTTCGTGTCAATGACAGGATTTTTACTAGAAATAAACAAATATTTATGTGGTGAGCGGATCATTCCATCGGTTTTAAGTCGTTATAGCCATAATAGTCATGAAAACATTTAATTTGCGAGCACTGATTTACATTCATGGAGAAATATGTAGGTCTACGTTTAATCTTTTCCAGTCTTAAAAAAGGAACTTAAATCATAGCCTTACACTCTAAGCTGTGTCAATCTTTGCCGGTTCTTAAAAATGTATTGAATTTAAAGAGTGTTCACTAAAAGGTTTAGAGATCATAATCGGCTGTACCTTCGTAATACTACCACTATTTCTAACCTTCCTACTCAGAAGAGTCCCGCTGGGTCCTCATTGTGGCTGGAGAGCTAGTGAAGAAAATGTAGTTAATGGTCGACATTTATTTTGTGAACGATTGTACATAAGAGACGGAAATGGTAAGTTTAATCTTTTTTATTTGCATCTTAAGCATGTTGAAAATAAATTATTAAATGAAATATTTACACGATTCTTTTTTAACCGTTTAGATCAAATTCCCTCAGCAAATATGCAAAATACACTTTTTAAAAAAGGAATTTAGGTTCGTGATTTTATTGGCATTTTCGTGGAGACCCTAACGTACCTGAATAAATTTTGAAAATGTTGCTTAAAAACTTCATATGATATATGATAACATTTATCAAAGAATTCAAACAAAAGTTTTAATTATGTATAGACACACTCAATACGAAAGAACATTTCATTCCTATACACACCTATAATCATGTATTTGTAGACAGACAAAGCCATGATGTGTCGATTTAAAACGCATCTACCCAGAATCTAATCCCTATCTTTGTTTGGTTTATATGTATTTTAAAAATCTTTTGTAGGGATTGTTATCTTAACAAACCATTTTTAGCATTTAATCTTCAAGGCATCATTCATATTAATATTATACATGTACATATTCTACAGTAAATTGGAGAAATGTTTACTTGTTTCGGACACATCCCCCCAAAAGAAGCAAAAAGTGAAAAGTTTATTGAACGATATTGCAATATCATATCTAAGTAATGAAACCCAATGAAATCAGGAAAGAGAAAGGTATATTTATTATAAAAGAGTTCAGAATTTTGCAAAACAATACGCACAATTTAAATATGCAAATAGATAAAAAAGTAAAAAAGCCACTCCTGTTTTCAACACATGATCATTCTTTATCAGTTTGGATAAATTTGAGGAAGTTTTCTTGATCATAAAAATCCATTTAAATTACATGTACATGTAAATTTCTAGAACTATCCAG